CGCGCGTTCGGGCAAACGGTTAGGAATTCCTAAATTGAGTAAATTTGTGTAGTTTGCCTTTTCTCGTCTTCTATTTTTGGTGAATTCTTGGGTTTTAAATTAAAATAGCTGATAGACGCTTTGGCCATTTGCCTCGAAATTTTCACACATTATTGACAAGGTGTTTCCCCTTCAAAATGCGTCCGGACAGTTTATTACGGCGAGTGGAACAAAAATAACAAGTCCGCAATTAACATGGATATATAAATTATGCAAAAATAGAAAAGAGTGAACTTAGAGGTCATGCTGTGCGACTTTGAAAGCCGTTAGAGAGATGAGTGGACGCATTTGAATTAGTAGTATACCAAGGTATCCAGTGATGTAATTTTACCCACAAACGGACTTGAAGTTTTTAAGCTAATTTTTTTTAAACCACTTTTGTCCAAAAAAGCATATTTTTGACCCAAAATCAAAAACGCATTCTGGATATTTAAAATAAAGACAAGTTTTACAAAGTTTGTGTAATAAGCTTTCAGAAAATATATAACATGTTGGATATATAATACCATCTTCATTGTCTAATTACTCAATTAAAAAGCAAGCCAAATAAACTGCATCTCTACCTTAAATATACATACATGCACATGTAGTTTGTTAAACTTTAAACCCAAAACAGTGAAAATAAACAGTTTTACAGTATGTTATAATTTAATACAGTGTTGTATGCTATTTAGAATGGTTATTATTATTTTAGGAAATGAAAGCTGGTGTTGCCAACATTAAAACATCTCAGCTACATTTGGTGGATTTAGCAGGAAGTGAAAGGCAGAAAGACTCAAAAGCTGAAGGTATGAGGCTGAAAGAGGCTGGTAGCATCAATAGATCTCTTTCAGCTTTAGGTAATGTTATTATGGCACTGGTAGACATAGCACATGGCAAGACAAGACACGTACCATACAGGGACTCAAAACTCAGTTTTCTGCTCAGAGTAAGTTGATTCACATTATATAAAATGATACACATTGATTGTTGCTGTACTTGTAGTTGCTGCTATTGTCATAGGCAGAGTTCTTTTTTTTTAACCTGTAATATATATTATACCCCAATCAAAATTATCACCTCAATTAGTCATTTGGTTGTGAATAAAACTCAATGTTGAAAATCCATTGACCTCAATTTTTTGTTGTGCATGCTTAGTTACAGTGTTTACAAAAACAAAAAATAAATGAATGTCAAGTAGTTCCAACTAATTGTGTATATTTATTCTGTACAATCAAAAACTGTTACAGCAGTGTCGGTTAAATATTCATATGTTAATGACCCTTATTGGAATAATTTCCTCATCAGGTCATTAAAACCAATTATTGACCTCTTGTTAATTATTTGTTGAATAATGCATCCATGGTTACATCTGATGCGAAGTCGTTTTTCTTTTATTAATGTCTAGGACTCTTTAGGTGGAAATTCAAAGACATACATCATAGCCTGTGTACATCCAGGAATTGGATGCTTTGGTGAAACACTCTCAACTTTACACTTTGCAAGACGAGCCAAAATGATTAAAAATAAAGCTCGGGTGAATGAGGATACACACGGGAATGTCACACACTTACAAGCTGAAATCAAACGACTCAAGGACGAACTTTACAAGTTTCAGTCTGGAGCGCTCGTACCGATGCAGTCTGCACTCTCTCCTTCTGCACATGCGGGTCATGGTAGACTGGAGCGTCAGTGGAAGAAACAGTTCCTGGATGCAATGTATCTTCGGGAGAAATTGGATACTGAGCGGCAGACTTTGATGCAGAGAGTAGCAAGGCTGGAAGATTATTGTGATAAGAAAGAGAAATTCTTGCAGTCCTCTAAAATGATAATTAAATTTAGAGAGCATACCATTCTACAGTTAGAAAGAGTTCAGAAGAAAGATCTAGCAATAGAGGATTCCTCCGATCTCATAATTGTAAGTGTTATCAATTTTAAAGCGATGTGGGCATCGCACAAGATATGGATTCCTTTTAATGTATACGTAACAATGCATGTAAAATACTTCACATGAAATGCAAACCTGTACTGGGTCTTGTCTATAGCACTCCAAATTCGAACTGAATTGAAGATTATATGTCATTTTCTTCATAATTATTTTGGGTTCAAGGCCATGATTGCATATGTTTATTACATCATATTATGATATCAATAATTACATGTATGAGGTTATCTCGAGAATACCACAAAATACGGTAGTACATCGATTGTATTGGCTGATGATGAGCAGATTTCAGTGTGACCTCCCCTCATACTGCCCAAGTGCATACTTAGCAGTATTCTTGTGATATCTTTATTATTATATTTTTCCTGCTTCTAGTAATATTATAATTAAATGGAAGATAACAGCCTGAAATAGCAACTACATGTATTAATGTTTTTACAGGATGACAAATTCAGTGCTGTAGATGTATAATGATAAATTTCATGTATTCACATATTCAGAAAAACTTGAAGAATGAGATCAAGGAGTTGAATGAAAAGATTGAACATCATCCTGGAATTACCAAATACGCCATGGAGAATCAGAATCTCAGAGCTGAAATCAAAAGACTTCAGCAATTAGAATCCATTAGTAATATTAGCCAATACGAACAAGACAGAGTGCAGCAGCTGGAACAATGTTATAAACAGTTGGTGTCAGAGAACGAAGGTCAGTCTGCTTTGTTTTCATTTAATTTCGCTACCCTATCTCAAATAAATCTTCTCATTGCAGCTCATGCAACCTATTTGCAGTTACTCCATATTGCAAATTGGCAGCTTTATACTTTATTCAGATCTAAAATACATGTACATATAGCAAGCCTTCCCCCTTAAATACAGATGTGTATGAAGAGCTAAGAAATATTGTACAACATGATGTGTTGATTCTTCAACTGAATTAGATTACATGCTGTCGGTTGCACACTTTATATTGAGTCAGTAATATTGGATCTTCATGAGTTTGTAGTGAACAAAGTTTTAACCAAAATTTTCATTATTTGAGTACATGTACAGTGTATGTTGATTGTTTGAAGATGTTGCCAATCTGCAATCTTATGTGAGATCAAGCGCAATTCCTGATAGCATTACGGTGTAATGCCATTTTGTGCTGAACAAAGTTAAATTTTGATTTTTGTAGATTCCACATATAATTTGAAACCAATGATTTTATTATTGATATTTGAAACAACTTTGTAATAATGTTGTAAAAGCTCACATATAACAAATTTCATGAAAAAACTGCCATAATTCCTTTCTAACACATCCAACATTACATCTCTGACTCGCTATTATTGCTTTAGATAACATAAGACATTAGTCCTCAGCATTTCTGTCCCTACAATTTCATGTTACTGCAGAAAACTTCATGATAACTTTTGCTTGCTTTGAACAGTTGCTGACAGACCTGGAAGTGTAACACCTAATACTACACCCCAACCAGGTGATAAAGTATCATTGGCAACGCTGGAGAGATGCAAAATGCAAATAAAGAACCTACAGGCAGCTTTAGAAACGGTGAGATTGTCTATCGTCATATTGCTCTCAGACATTGAACATTCCGCTAAATATCTTGATTTCTATGTATATATTGGTATGTTTACTTATTGATTACATACAGCCCTCAAAGTTTAATTTTTTTATGACCATTGACACCCAATTTGAAATTGTTCTATTTGAAGTGCATGTGCTTACGTAAATGGCATAAGTGTCCTTTCAGTATACAATAAATGAAAATTTTTGTCTATATGTACTTTTATTTGAGATGTGTTTCTAAATGTGGTAATAATGTACTGTACAATACTTTATTTTAGCTGGAACTAATTTTTGCTGAAAGGACTTTTTTGGTGTTTATTTTCACTGATTTTTGACGAGTTGAATGTAAAAAATCATTCCTTCAGTGAAAATAGTGAAAATTCCAAGCGAAAATAAAGTACTGTAAAATCATTTATTTTCACTATTTTGATGTTTTGAGTATATTCACTGAGTTTTAATTTCACAGGTTTGTCAAGGAAACAATGAGTTTTATTACTATTTTACATATTTACGTAGATTTTACCTATCAGCGAAAATAGCAAAATTAAAACCCAGTGAATAATTAATGCATTTACAGTATTATACAGTATGATTTGCTGTTTTACAGACAAAACAAGGCTTTGCTGAACAAGAAGAATTGGCAAGGCAGAAACGAATTGATATGGAGGCAGAGAATACTTCATTAAAGAAGACAGTATCAGAGCTGGAAAACGTTGTTGCTGCCATGCAAGTTAAAAATAAAATGGAAATGGATCATATAAATAATATACATGCTGAAACTATAAAGGTATTCTTGTAAACTGTCTACCCTTTAGTATTCTACATGTGTTGTGTAGTCACATGTGACCCATATCAAACTTGATATGGCGTGGCAACTGGTTAAAAATTTGAAAGACATGATTGATGACTTGTTCTAATGAAATGCTAATAATACTGCAAAATACCCAGTCTCATAAAATCTGCGGAAATTACTCACGAAATTAAGTGTACAGTATTTACTTATTGTGGTGTCACATACGTGCTAAGTGCACCAATCAATCAATATTATCAGCTTGGCAGCTGTATTGCTAGCAATGTTGCCTTCAAAACTTATAATGATCTACTGGTTTCCGAAAAATAATTAGCTGATAATATTGCTGGCTTGGTGTACGGAAACAATATCGCAGCTACAGTAACAATAAAAGAGTCTCCCTAATCAGACACTACACCTACATGTACATATATATTTTATTGTTATTCATTTCAGACCATAACTACACCAAAGAGAGCTGGGAATAGGTCTAGACTTGTGATGGTTGGAATGAAGTCGGAGTCAGGCTTAGAGTCACCATTGTGTACCAACACTAGCAATGGTGATGTAGAAGAAAACCCAGATGCTGAAGAGGAAGGAATTGATGACATTGCGATGCCTGAAGAGATGGAGCAACAAAAATGTGAGGCACTCGCAGATGAAATAAAGCGACTAGAGGTATGATACATAAGATATTATGAGATTATTACAAGAATACCACAAAAGTTTTTACAAGAATAGCCCAAAGTATCCACGACAACAGGACAGCAGGAGTACATGCGTCATCTGCTGTTAAGAACGCCTGTTTGGAAACTTGAAAAAGATACACTGACAGATGGATAAAAATGTTAATTGATTTCAACCATAGTTTAATAAAGTGGATATTGTAGACACATTAATTATTCATTGCTTTTTAAATTTTACTACTTTCATTGATAAGTATATAATTCACTAAATTAAATCCACAGGAACATATCGAATAACAATAGATCTCGTTGTTTCCCTGCAAAGTTTGTGAACTTAAAATTGTCTGAAATGTCAAATTAGTGAAATTAAATGCCAGTGAAAATAAATGGCTTTACAGTATAACATACCTTAATATCAGCATTTGTAAATCCATAAATTCAGTTATAATATATTTTTGTCCTATTTTACAGGATAAATGTAGTAATCTGCTTGAACAGCTTCACCAAGAACAGGCTAGTAATGTCAAGATTAAACAAGATAATTGTAAACTTGAACTCCAGCACCAACAATTCAGTGAAGTAAGTATCTATACAGATATCTGCAAAAAATACATATACCGTTTTAGTAGCATATGAGATTTTTTGTGAAAATTTGTCTGAAAAGCAGTTGAATACATGTTTATATTTTGTGTAGTTTTTTGTGAAATTTTATCAATTACTTTGAACAAATACTGTGAAGACATGGCCATTAAATGTTGCATCCACGGACATGACTGATGTACATGTACACCCGAGATACTCAAACTATTTTACCCACACATTAAGATTGTTATGTTGACAGGATGTTGTGATGCTATGAACATCAATTCAACATGTATTGTATGTAAGTTTGCATTTTGTTTTGTAGATGCTGAGTACAAATCGTAATAACTGGTCTTCCAAGGAGCATGATTTGAACCAAAATATTTCTACACTGACAGCTCAATTGGAAATCCTGAATGGTGATCATGATAGTACGTTTCATCCTGAGTATTATTACATATGTGCTGCAGTTTATTTTGATTCGTCCCTGAAATCAAAATCGGTATTTCCACAACCCATATGCAAATGAGGTCTGAGAGCAAACAAACTAGTCCCTTCAGGAGTACCGTTTTTCGAAATAAACAATATTTACAATATTTTCCCCTTAGGGTACATGAATATACTTGCCGAGTGAAATACAATTTGAACAACAGTAATGGTACTTTTAGGCAGTCACTTATTTTGAGTCAAACTAATTTGCATATCACCCATGCAATAATGTTTTTGGTATTTTCACGGTCGATATTTCCATTGGCTACCGAACTATTTTTA